CATTTAATTCAAATACTTGTAAATAATGAGCCAATTTGTAATAATTTGAAGCGTTTTTATACAACAGCTGAATTGTTATCATTATGGAAGGGTTTTAATTATTTCGTAAAATACCTGTAAAAATCGTAAGTGAAAATATTTTATATACTTTTAATTTTTAATATGGAATAAGAGATTCTACTCAAAGAATAATGAGAACTAAACTCGATCAATGGCGGCAACCTGCAGGCCCTTTGAGCTAGCTACATTGCCTTATCGTCACAGGGCCCTTTCCAACTGCTAACCCAATTATTGCACCATTAGGTTACTAATAGAACTCAAGGGAATTTACATAATTCAACAATTTTGAATTATTTGTTTCTTAAGCAACGTTTTACTCATGTGGACAGATGTAACTGCGTTAACATTAACTAACAAGTCTTCTGTTAATTTTCTCCATTTGGAATATTTTAAAAAAAAGTCTGCCAAGTTAGTTCAGTATACCTTCTTCAACATTTCCATTCGCTAAAAAATATCTCTATTACAAGATATAAATTTTTTCGTATGAGAATAAGATCACTGAAAGAAGCCGTTTTCGGAAATTCAATAATCAGTTAACATATACGCGTTTGATCTTCAAGAGTTTTGTTTATCAGTAAATGATAAAATGCGAAGAAGTTCCTCATTTTAAGATTCCATATTTGATGATTCGTAGTTTAAAAAAAATAATTCCAGTGCATACTGAATATGCAAATCGGTACTGATAGCGCAAAAGGTTGTATATAAAAATTGAGTGTTTTATAGAAAATCAAAAAAACTACTTATTTCTTTATGATTTATTAGTATAATTTTATAATGAAGTAGAGATGGTTGGCCGTGATATAATATAACAAACAACGAGTTGTTCGGGGGATGCGGGCATCAAGGAAATGCTATTTTCCATAGTAGTGGTCTACTTACATCAATCGCAGACTTCATAATGTCAAAAACAGAATACAAATTTAAAACTTTTACATATGACCTTTAACACAGTAGTGATATATACTTAATAGGCATTTTTTCAATCGTAAAATGGATGGAACAAAAAATCCATTGGAAAAATTGAACTTTTTGTTTGTTCGGAGTTAACGAGACCAATACTTTTCTTCAATCAGAACAAAACTAATTATGCTAGAATATAAAAATATTCGTGATGTTCACACATCTCTAATATTTAAGGAAATAATCGAGACCACGACGAGTTGATTGACCTTTAATCTAAATTAACACAATGACAAATAAGGACTTTTTTTTACGAACTGAGAGTAACAATTAATTTAAATTAATGGAAAATCACACGAAATCTAAGTAACAGTAATAAGTGTCATGCCAGTAACGTTTGGAATCGACCAAATTTATAAAGTATAAATTAACTTTTTGAATAAAACCTAAAATTTTATAACCTCATAAAAATATTGTATTAACCTAACTCCCATTCTATATGGTAAATTCCTTCCACATTTCGCAGCCATTATATTGTTAATAATTATTTATATTAATTTTAATTATTAAATGACACTAAATGAAGTTAATATTAAGTAATTTCTATACTGTTCTGCAAATTTCATCCTAGTTTGGCTCAAATCGAATGAACCGTTTTCAAACTATAGGCTTATCAAATAATACATTTTGTGATCTGAAAGCGGAAGAATTTTTTTTGGAAATAGTGGATAGAATTTGATAAAATTGATACATCCTTGATTATCTGTTTAGCAATCGCTAACTTCACTCCAAATTGCAGCCAAATCGAAAGTGTAGTTTTAGAGTTTTAGACGTATCTAGGAAAACACATTTGCGCATATATAAGATAAAGTAGAGGACAGAATTGAATAAAATTGACATTAAATTATTTTTTTTATTAATACCTGCCTTTTTTCCAACTTTGAGCCAAATTGAACAAGCCGTTTCTGAAATACTGGAATATCCAAGAAAATACATTTACACGTGTGCAAGCGGAGGTGCTGAATGGTTTTGATAAAATTCATATTGAACCATCTAGAAGCTAGATCGCAAAATCTCTGAAAATTTTATAAAAGATAATCGGCCCGTTACATTGATTTGTTACAGACAAACAGACACCGAAACAAATTTGATCCTTGATGTCTGAAACGTAAAACGCAAGGGAAATTTTTGAATCTGAGCCGAAAGATTTTTTTATCCTCTCGCACGAACACAAAGTTTCGTTCACTACCTTCGGTAGTGAGGAAGCAAAATTAAACATGTAAGTCAATCAAAATATAATTATTAGTATCATTTCATAATAACTACTTAATGAATATTGATGTTTGAATACTTTTATAATAAATTTATTACAACTTTTCCCCAAAATATCCAGTTTGAGCAGATTTAGATTTTTCTGAAGCAGTGCGATTTAATATTATTAACCATAACCACAAACTCATCCTATTTACATTTTTCTCGGATAGTCAAGCAGTGACCACCGGCAATGCTTAAGCTGGAGAGATGGTAATCAATCGCATTGGAAGGATGCTCTATAAGTTGTGACAATCACAAAAATCTTTTGATTACCTCAAGGAAGAATAATAAGGTATAATCAACGTTTTGTTTAAATAGTGGAGAGCTAATGAAGTCTATTTGACACTATCAAATACCACGTGTGTTGGCTTTATGTCGTGCTGGAATTTATTGATATATCTTTGAGTAGAATGAACCGAAATATAAAAAATTTCGTTGATATGATTTTTCTTAAGCCAGATCAAAAGATCAACATATTGAACAGATATGTCTTCCTTTCATTAATATGTCCCCTATAGACAGCTTAATTGGGCAAAATCTTACTCATTGTTATTGGAATTTAAAAAAATCATTCTCTAAATAAATGTAAAGCCAACATTTGCTCAACATGATGATATATGCACCTCGGCAATATAGGTTCCTGAGCCTTTTCTGTTGTCAGTGGGAGGCTCCTCTTTAGCACGTTTACCAAAAAATTGGGAACGTAATTGATGTAATATTTCAGATGATTTGCAATTTCGGATATAAAGTTCAAAAGTGTACTCGTCGAAACGAATAGTACAGAAACATGAGATACCGTTAATTTGTTTGCCGATTAGGGCAAATTTAAGTGGCAGAAAAGTGGTTTTCAAAATTTCAAATAAAAACGCTTTGGGTTTATAAATTTTTATACGATAGAAAAGTCCTTACATGCACTATATGAACGAACACCATGAAATCCAATGTCTATAATGCTTCTCTCCGTACAGTACGTGGTCATAAACGGCAAACGGAGATGTTGGACCCCTCTGCTGCAAACCGTAAGTCAGAAACCCAAGTTCATGTACCGGGCAGAATCTCTTGACAGCCTTGTATCGGCACAAAAATGCAAAGAAGCCCCTATCCTAGAAATGAGCAATTATAGATGTTTCTTCGAAGTTCATTGTCTAGGCACTGAAGACGCAATGTGGTTCGTGTACATTTTAGCGTTTAGTATGACAGGCGACCCAAACAGTGATTAAGTTCGACAAAAATGATTAAGATCACAAGATACGGGAAAAAAAAGGATTTCTATACGAAATGAAAGTCGGAATCAAGACTGGTTTATTGTTCCTTCTAATCCTCTATATATACATTCTGAGCTTTTTTACATCAGTGCTTTTGGTATTAGCACTAATACTGTCCCGCTCCTTACCTTAACTTATATATATATATATATCTTTATAAAAATTAAATATTAAAAGTATTTATAATCTTGACAAAATTCCAGTGTTTCTGCTATCTCAATACCTATCATCCGACGAGCTAATATTTGATTTATTCAATATTTAAATTTGGAACGATAGAGGAAAATTTAATAACAGTCATTTTGTTTTAGTTATTATGTATTTTAAAAAGAAGATATATAAGAACAAATAATACCGTTCTTCAATCTAAATCCTTTACTGCGGAGACACCAGGGCAACTGGTTTTGGCGCAGAAAAGAGTTAAGGAATAAAAGGTGGGCTTAGCATTCAATTTATTCCAGAAATGAATAAAACATTTCCATTTATTATATAGTCTCGGAATAAATTCCTGAATGTTGTTTGAGGACAGGAGTGTGTTTTTCTTCTTGCTAATATCCCAGCTGATAATGCCTCGTGGCTTCGAAATGTGAGAAGAAGGAACAAAACCCATCGCTCCCACAGATGAACTATATATCTTCTATCTCGAGACCTCTCTCTCACTAGATCTCACTTGGGCTAAAAAAAGATTATTTTCCATTAATGAAAAAAAAAGAATGATAATTTATTTTACTGTTTAAGGACGTCTATATCTACATTTAAGGATAGTTTTGTAATGGACAACTAGTCATCTGACACAGCATACCATTAGTTCACCTGTCCGCCACCTGGCGGCGCCACATAAGCGCACTCACTAAAAAGATGGATTTTTATTTCTTATTAAGTTCTGTCTTGTAAATATTTATATACGTCGTGAATACTTTTTAATAATGAAGGTAATAAGGTATACTGATCAAAGCTTATAAATAATAGTAACTGTAACTATTATTTGTTAGTTACAACAAAACCGTTTAAAGTGTCACTTTAAAAAAAATATATAGTGCTTTTTTTAGATGATTAGTGAAGAACGTTTTAAAAATAAAATGCAATAGTATGAGGAGACGACACTCAACTAGAAAGAATCTGGCTTGGAAGGACTCAAAAAGAAAAGTTAAAGTACAGAAAAGCCTGCATCTACCCAGATTGAAACCACAAATCAATTTGAGGTTCTCACGGAGACGCAAACAGAGGACGAAACATCTACAGCAGCCCATACCTCAACCACAGAAGCTCAGAATACATATGCGGCTCCCAAGAAGACACCCCAGTCGTGATGGATAAAGAGGTATTCACGCTACTGCAGGTAACAGCTTTTATTTATAAAATAAAAATTAGATAATACTTTCTCATGAGTAAAGAAATCCGCATGAAAGAAAATTCCTCACTGTATGAACACCAGTGACGCCCGAATGCCGTGCCACTCACCAATTGTTCATGGACCAGCTCACCTACATCAGGGGCGTCCAATGGAGTCACTGAGAGAACTACAGAACTCGTTGACACCTGTAAGTAAAACATTGGCTCATAGGAGATCTAAATGTACGACGTGGTCTACATGTCTAAACGTTTACACGGTTGTTCATCCATCCACCCGAAATTTCCAACACGATGGAAACGGCACCACGCCCACCATCGACCTCTTCTTTAAGTATCAGAAGGCGGACTGGATTCAGTCGAAAGAAGAAATATGCCGTAGGCAGCAGCTGATACCGCGTCTACAAACAGAAGAATGTTTAAACGATTGCACTGAATGCTTCAGCACAACCATACTGGAGTCTATGCTGAAGGCTACAGTAACCTCCACCACACGTCATGGTACTCATAAAAAGTAGTCACACCTCGAAGAACAATTATTATCGCTCCAGGAATCAGAACATTAAGAAGGCCCTGAAAGCAGTCACGACTTAAATCAGGAATCCGATGCGACAGTGGAAGACTGCGGCATGGTATCAGCGTCTTGGGGCGACTTCAGGAAATTCTGGAAGCTCACCAAGGCAGTGACGAAGAAGAGCTCAAGAGTTCGCCTGTACGACGGAGACCACCTGGTAACTCCTGCCGATCAGGCAGAAGTTTTAGCCCAATACTATAACCATCATCAATCGCTCGAGAAACCGGCTCTTAATTTCCGATATGGCCAGAGAGGGCAACTTCATGTTCTCCAGCCCAAAACTATTTAAAGCCAAACTCACGAGATCTCATGGAAATCTGCCTCCTGGTCATGAGTGTGTTCAGACCGTTCTCACGAAACAGCTATCAGGCTAAGGAATTGCTCATCCCACGAACTTGTACAAATCGTGCTTGAGGCTAATATACTTCCCCGACAAATGGAAGCATGCTTAGCATAGTTTCCACTCCTCAAGCCGTGTAAACCGGAAGACAAACCAGAAAATTACAGACCCATAAGCCTACTGGCGCACCTCACGAAAAGATCATCTTGAATTACCTTCGAGAATTTCGTGATGAACACTTCGTAATTCCTTAAGAACAAACCGGATTTCAAGCCAAGCTCAGCACCGAACACCGCCCTATGCAACTGCAGCAAGAAATTAACACAAACTTTAACATAAATGGAACTACAGCCATGATTTCTGGAATTTGCACAAAGATATTTGACTCTGTGTATCACGGAAGTCTATGTTATAAGCTCATAGACCTCGAGTGCCCGTAGCAACTATACACACTCATTGCCACCTTTCTTAAAAACAGAAGTCTCTCGATGCGAGTTCCAGATGAGCATCCCAACACCGTTCCCTTTACATGTGGTGTGCCAAAGGAGCAGTCCTCTCGCCAGTACTCTTCTCAATTTACCTAGTGTATGTAGTGGCAAGAACTACAAGGAAAGAGCTACCGTTGCTGCGTACGGAGATAAAATCGCCATCTACAGTCGCAGTATTCATCCCAAGATACATCAGCCCAAACACACGTTTGAGGAGATTGTTCGACAACTGGAAAACCTCAACACCCCATTGAATCCGGCGAAAACGGATAGTGTAATGTTCTCTCACCATAAGGGCAACGCATTGCCAAGAAAACTCTGAGTGGGTAACAACAACATCAAACCGTCAAATGCCACAGTATATCTGGGTATAACCCTTGATAAACATCTCCGCCTAACTACCCACATTCATAAAAATAATGGATCGGTGAGAAAACGATCATACAGACTTCATTAATTCAAGCTGATGGTGTTTAAGGCAATTTTCAGACCGGCACTTTGCGGTGCACTGTTGTTCACCCACCACATAGAAAACACCGATAAACGGCTCCTAAAGTTTTAAAATACAATGTTGAGGAAAATAGTCAGAAACGGTGTGGAAGAAAGAAAAGCTCCCGGCTCTTCACGTCATTCTCGATATTCCAACGGTAACGGAATTTATCTGGAGGAGACATGTTAAACTTTTGGACTCTCCGGATTGTCTACCAAATCGTTTATTTTCAAATTTAACACCTATACCCCCGCTAGTGAGATAGTAGATTTTCTTCCACGAATAATGCTCCATAGACGCTTAGATTAGATGTAGTGTACATAGTTTTAAGTCGAGGTTCAGTTCATTTTAAAAATAAGAACAAAGAAAACGGGGCGCATCTTTTAATATTAGAATCAACTAAAACTTTATTCTACATATCAATATCAAACAGGCTTTAAAACGATTCACAGTTCCAGTAAAAAGCTAAACATACAAATATTTGAATTAGTATAACTCATAATTATTATTCATTAGGGGGTTCAGATAAAAAAAAATAATTAAAAAAAATTATTCCCAAGGGATGTGAAACTTTCCCTGCAATTTGATCAGTATATCGGTAGCCACACTGCAAAAACCTGTAAGAACAAAAGCTTAAAATTTTCAAGAGACACAAAACAATTGCGTCATTTTTGTTCTATGTAATGTTCATAGTTTCGGTTAATTTTTTGATAAAGTTTGACTTGAAGGCGACAATTTGGTCACACGAGTTATTCACTGTTTTGTCTCCCTCTGTAGGGGCGGCTCGAACGGAGTGCATGTGCACCATTTTGGAGAAGTCTAGGAAAGTTTCGTTTATAACATGCTCACCTTTATATGGACATAGTTTGATTAACGAATTCTTGGTAACTTCTGGTAACATGCTGATATTTAGATCGCTTCATTATTAAGCTTTATGTGATGTTTAAGGTTCATTGGTTTGGGAAAATGAAACTAGAGTTATTTTTTTGTCTCGTGTTTGATTCATTTAATGAAATCAATTCTCTGTCTCACACTATCTGGAATTCGGTGGCCTTGTAGCTTTATCCCAGTCAAGCTTATTTTGCAGTTGCTTCAATTGTTTTAAACGCCGTTCAATATTATATTTCCACCTACCATTCTCTTCTTTGATTCGTCTAGTTTCATGTTAATAAGTGTCGGCCTCAGAGCAGCGAAATTATCGCATTTACCCTGAGGCGTCGGCTTAAAATTAAAATAAATTAAGTACAAGTAAGCAGATTAATTTGCGAATAAATATATATGAGTGTATTCACATATTTTTAATGGTATATATAATAACGATAATACAAAAGTCAAATGAAAGTGTCAGCTATTAAATACGAATTTTGCTCTTACATCTATTCGGAAGATTGATTGCTTAGGAGGTGGAAGAATAATTGTTGTTTAAATTTGGTTAGAGGTTTTTCGTATGGAGGCAGGTGATGAATTCCAGAAAAAGGTAGATGACAAAGGGTTTTTAAAGAAAACGGTTCTATGAGAGGGAACAAATAGGTTTATGGGCTGGGATCTCGTCTTGAACGAATGGTCAGAGAAACAAGAAGAAAACAAATCAAGGAGGTAAGATGGCTGTTTGGTCGTACAGGATCGGAAAAGGAATACACCTAGGAAATATTGCCGCGGGAGAACTGGATAGAGCCACTTCAACTCGCCATACCAACTGGAAACGTAGGAGCGCCTAGGGTCACCAAAGATGAATCGAATGTAACAATTCATTAATCTCTTCAATCAGATATGAAGCCCACCAGACAATCAATGGGCCACAACACAGCCATAATCGCAGTGAGGAAACAAGGAGTTGGCTGGTTAGGAGCACGGAATGTCAGGAACTGTTTTTCAGGAAGGTTTATCGAATAAGTTGGGAAACATGATTATTCCAGGTTAGGTACTGATCAAAAATTACTCCTAAATTTCTAACAGAAGTATGGAAACAAATAGGTAGTCAATTGAGATTGAGAAGGGGATATTATGGTATGGATATTATAAGATGCTTGGAACCAAGAAAATTGTTTTGGTCTTCTGGACGTTCAACTTTAAAACATTACCTGCTGCTCAAGTGGTAATATTGTTTATATCTTTTTGTAGTCTTTGAATAGCCTCAAACATCTCAGTAGGATAAAAGTAAAGGTAGATTTGGAGATCGTATGCATAGAAGTGGTATTGTGAATGGTGGATGGAATCGGGATGTTCGTTGACCGTATATGGAGAAAGCAAAGATTCCTGAGTAACACCACGAGTTAGTGTGAGGGAGGAGGAAGGTTTTTTTTTGGAGAGGGAGATAATAATTGTTTGGGATCTGTAATCCAAAAAGGAACGAAACCAATTTAGAACGCTATTTGATATGGAAAGATTTTGGAGTGGAAATGAGGAATTCATGATTAATGGAATCGAAGGCTTTTATAAAGTCAAAGAAAATCAGGATGGAGATTTTTTTTTTAGTTATGGACGAATGAAGGTCTTGGGTGAGTTTCAACAAAGCAGAATGGGTTGAGGATTGAGGTCGAAAACTAGACTGATGAAGAGATTGAGGGTAGATTTTTCTCAAGAAAGATATTAAGCTGTGAATGGACTAGTCTTTCAAGAGGTTTGGGAAGGTTGGAGAGGATGGAGATGGGTCTGAAATCGGAAACTTTGGAGGGGACCGGAACTTTGCTCATTGGGCGGACAATAACTTTTTCCAAGCTGATGGGAAACCGAAATTTTGTATAGAACAATTGTAAATATGCAATATTATAGAAAACATGACAGAGAGGCATATAATTTCAATGGGATTAGATTCGGACCGTAGTCATTTGTTCTGTATTTGAGGACAGAGGAAAACAGGTCTTCCGGCGAGATATTTGTAAAATAGAAATTTGTAGGGTCAAAGGAAGTTTTAGGAAAGCAGCGTGAGGAGGTACATAGCGTCGCTTGAAAAAAAAAAGAATATGTCTATTGAGGAAAAATTAATCCATATTTTACAATATAAAAAAATAATATAGTACAGATAGTAAACTGTTTACAAAGAAATGTCTGAAAATGACCAAAAGGCCTAAAGGTTTAATGCAATATAATCAAATGAAAGTTTTTTTATTGTTACTTAAGAAGTTTTATCTCTTCGTAATGAAAGAAAGGCTGTAATTCGTTAACTACCTTTTATTAAATTAGAATTATTATATTAATAAATTATTAAAAAGTAATATTGCGGCTTTTTGAGATTCCTCTTTTATTTTTCGTTAATGTTTCATAAGAATTAATAGTAGATGCAAAAAAATATTTACAAGACTTAACAATTAA